TGCGATTCGCTAACAGGCGAAATGACCGGTTCGGTAGTGACAACATCAACGATCGTAGTGGCGGTGAGGTCTGCTGCGGCAACGGTAGTGGCATTAGCGGGATCCTGTTCGCTCGACGAAGCAGAGTCCACTCTAGGTTCCATAGTTCTAAGTGGTTTACGGTGGTTATGATGGTGATGGTGGTGGCGGCTCATAACTTTTTCCTCTTCTTCATTAATACTAATGGGCTGCCGTTGCAACGAACTGCTGACTTCCTTAGATTTACTTTTGTCACTCTTGCTTGCGTCTGTATTAAGGAAAGCTGGTGGCGGATCATCAAAAGCCACAGAATCCACTTTAAACTTAGCAACGGCACGGCGCTTTGTCTTAGAACTATGATTCTTTTTCTGTTTCCGTTTACTTGACTTCTTAGGTTCTACTGCATCAGATGCTTTCTTAGCTTTACCATCCTTATGACCAGAAACGACGGAAACATGAGACACCTTTTGCTGCTGAACAGTCTTTGACACGACCAATTTATCGTCCTGATCATGCTGATCCGAGGGCGATTTCGTGCGTTCTGCTGAAGAATCAGTTCCTAAATTTGGTCGTATTTTGTTTAACGAAGAATAATTCAGAAAACTTTGCTTTCTTCGCTTGATTTTTTTACTGGGGGGCGTCTTGACGCCGGACTGATACTTGTAAAGGACTTTCAGAATACTAGGATCAGTGTTGCGATCAAACGTAGGGGCCACAGCTCCTGAGTTGCAGAGTAAATTCGCAACATAACCAGGTAGAAATATCGACTGATGCTTGCTTACAGGATGCTGACGATGAGGCGAATATCGAACCTTGTGTGAATAATGCTGTTTTCGAATCGCCCGACTGGTGTCGGGAGTTCGGCTTCGAGAATGACTTCGCTTCATCCGCGGTCTCACAGACGGGCTAGGCGACCTGCTCAAAGAACGGCTGTGAGAATGGCGCCTATGACGCTTGTAGTGCTCGTGAGATCTGCGAATCAAAACGATTAATTCGTATAAATTAATTAAGCTTTCAAAACACGTGGCACACCTTGACTGAAACGAATAACTGCTGCCAGAAGAGATACTTCTCGACTGGCGTTTTTTACGGTCTTTCCTAGCCAAAAATTCGTCCCAAGGATCATTTTCGCGTCGGTAGTTTCTGCGTTCCCTGGAAAATGCACTAACATGCACTTGCAACATTTTACAATACATTAATTGAGTACTGCTCGAGTAATCGCTTCTTAGCTCGATAAAATTCTTCTTTTGTTAGTGGCCGCTGGTACGTAGCGGGAAAACTGGGCGGTGGTCGAGATAACTGAGTAAGGGGCAACGTATAAGATGCTGTAAATAACAAATTTTAAAT